CTGTCATGTCCTGATAATGTATAGGCCTACTTGTTAATGGATCGTCTTGCTCCCTCTGACAGAATCTAGATTGAGGTGTTTTATTTGCTACATAATTAAGTAATTTATAGAACAGTATGTAATTTAAGCCCACAATAAAGAATAGATTACTGCTCATTGTAACAGAATGATCACAATTAAGAGGGAGAAAATGTATTGAATGACTTGGAGAATCACATTCACTTTAAAGGTGTGCCTGAAGTTGAAATGTCCCGAATACAGATTTTGAATGTTAATTTGGTCTGCTTTGATTTTATATCGTGGGACATGGAATCGGTCTATATCACCGAGGCTCATCCACTTTGTATAGTGTATCCACCTCTCATTCCTCGACTGTGGAGTGGCCGATGACGCCATCGCCCCACCTTAAGGATCGCTTAGGTAGATTTATTTGACCGTTTAAAACACAATACAACCACACATGTGGAGAATGCATTTACGATAATCGAGAATGACACAAAAATAAAGATTGAAAACGTATTTCCATTGTGGTCCTCTTAAATGTCTTTCTAAACATAGTAGGGCTAGGATCCACATAACACAACAAAGGACAGGAGAACATTATCATAGTCTAGAGCCTTACATACTGACATGGAAAAGGAACCATTCCATTGGTCCATCAATAGCCAGCTTTAGACATTCTTTCTAAATGAAGTTCTGGTCGACATGGCTTTGAGTTGCTGTGATAGTTTGTTCCACTCAACAGCGCCGGTAAATAAAAGGTGTTCTTACCAGATAGACTCTTACACTATCAATACTTTTTGAGGTCCGAGCTAGGAATTAAAATGTTTGGTTTATCTTTGTTAAAACCTTTAGGGCCAGCAGTGTGGCTTGGCAAGGTCGCGTTTCGGAGTACGCATGGCTCTCGACCTTCATCTCTCCCGAGTCCGTAGGGGAGTTGCAGCGATGGGACAAGACTGTAACTACCAATTGGATATCACGGAATTGGGGAGAAAAAATGATAAAAAGTTTTTTTAAAATTATAATAATAATAATAATACAGCTTTAGACATTCTTTCTAAATGAAGGTCGTATAAAATATTATTCTTGCCAGTATATTCCTCTATCTGTTCATAAATGACTTTTTTTTCCAGCACTTTAGACAGCACATTCAAAATAGATACAGGTCTGTAGATGCTCTTGTCTGTTTCGCTACCCTTCTTGTGGATAGGGGGTCACTCTAGCATGTTTCGTATCCATGGGAACTCTACCCTGCTCAATAGAGATGTCGATTTAAATGGATGATACAGGGGACAATAAGCTCAGCACCATCTCTTAAAAACCTGGCAGGGATATTGTAGAGGCTTGTAGCTTTAGAGGAGTTTAGTTCAGACAGTCTCTTGACAACTTCAGCCTGAGACACTGCTGTAAAGGAACAGGCTTCTGCTTGTACACTAGAGGAGGCTGGTGGGAAGAGCTATAGGAGGACGGGCTCATTGTAATGGCTGGAACGTTACAAAACACCAGAACTATTTGGTCTCATTCGGTTGGCTGTGTGTGCACGAACGTGGTTTCAGCATTTTGGTACATCGCCTACTTTTGTGTAATCAGACGGACGTTCAGATAGAAAAAAAAAGGTCAATAGGATTTCTACCGTGTTGCATGATGGGTAAATAGTCGGACAGTGATATAATATAGTTAAACAAAATGGATCGCTTTTCCACCGCTTTGTCCGTAACTGTATTCGTAAACGTCATTAAACCCTGGTCGATATGATGTGGTATTATCAGTAGTCGAAGTGGTAACCGTCAGCCAAAAACCTTTGCCCTGGAATGAGTCCCCCTCTAGCAACGTGTACAACTCATACTTACCTGGCAAGGGAGATACCGTGATCAAGAAGGCGGTTCACCCAGGGTGAGGCTCAGCCATTGCACGCCGGCTGTGCTGACCCCTGCGAATTTCCCAATGTGGAAATCTCGATTGCATAATTTCTGGTAGTGGGGGACTGCGTTCGCGCTCTCCCTGATCTTGTTGTTCAATATAATATGTTGGAAGTAATGTTCCCTGTGTGATGGTACTAGTGTTTACTCTGTGTGCTATGGAGTTTTCGTGTTGAGAAGGACGTTTATCAGCTTCTCCCTTTTCTTCCTCATCACATGAATGGTTTTAGAAATTAGGATCTATTTCAAAGCAAACTAAGCCCTTATAGATACATTTTGGCCAATAATGCTATCAGGCTCAGAGAACTACAAGCCAAAATTATCGGTGACCATGCCATTTTCAATAATGTCCATCAGGTCTCTCAGTCAACACTGGCACGCATCCTGAAAAGACATCAGGTTCAAATGAAACAACTTTATCGAGTGCCGCCTTTTGAGCGGAATTCAGAGAGTGTCAAACGGCTGCGACATGAGTATGTGGAGGTTTGTATTGTTCACTTTAGCACTGTGATGTTGCATACTGCAAACATGACTATTTTACATTGACTGTGTACTAGACCTATCCTGAACTACACAATCGTGTCTTTCACTGTATTTCAGAGAGTTTTGCAGATGGATGCTGAGGAAATCCTGCATGAATTCATATATATTGATGAGGCAGGGTTCAACCTCACAAAAGCAAGGAGAGGCAGAAATATCATTGGCCACAGGGCTATAATCAATGTCCCAGGGCAACGTGGGGGCAACATCACCCTTTGCGCTGCCATTTCACAGCATGGGGTTCTCCTCCGTCATGCCAAAATGGGCCCTTACAACACACCTCAAATTTTCGCATTTTTGGACCGATTGCACCACATCGTCACAGCAGGTAATGAAATGCACCAGATGCAATACACTGTCATCTGGGACAATGTGTCATTCCACCACTCTGCTTTGGTCCAGAACTGGTTTCAACACCATCCACAGTTGACAGTACTATACCTTCCACCATACTCTCCGTTTCTAAACCCTATCGAATAGTTTTTCTCTGCATGACGGTGGAAGGTTTACGATCTCCAGCCCCAGGCTCAGGTACCGCTCATTCAGGCCATGGAGGACGCCTGTGACCAAGTCGACGCCGCAGCTGTGCAAGGATGGATTCGACATTCAAGACGGTTCTTCCCGCGTTGTCTTGCTAATGAGGATATTGCTTGTGATGTTGATGAAATTCTCTGGCCAGATCCAGCTAGGCGAAGAGATAATGTATAGTATGTTTACTGTAGTATTTTCTGTACAATATTGTCAGTTTTTTTCAGATTATTTTTTAAGTTTGTTGTTGTTATTTACTGTAATTGTAAACTGTACTGGATACAGTGTTTTACGTTTGTCTGTTGTTTGCTGAGCTAACAGTGTTCTGCACACTACTGTAGTAGCATGAAAACTGGGACATGTTTTGTTGTGATTCTCCATGTTGACATGTTGACTGATTTGGGTATATGGAGAGAAATAAATTATATTTTCCTCAGTCTGCAGCATTGGTCTTGTGTAGTGTTTGTATAGTTGCACTTTCTCTGTGTACTTCATTTACAGTACTCTAATCACTGAGAATTAGACTTGCTAAAGGTGTTTTAGGTTAGTAACAGCAGTGTGTAACTGGTTCAAAAAGATTGAAGTCATATGAAATGTGTGTTTCGTATGGTAACAAAATATTGTTTTTATGAAGTCGTGTATAGTTTTGACAAAAGTGTTCCATTTTGCAAATGATCTGAAGTGTTGTGCTACTTTGGTGTAGGGTTGTGCTAATTGTGTGTAGTGTTTTGACAAACCGGGCCCTGTTTTCAAAATTGTGCTTAAACAATTGAAAAAAACTGTAATCTGAGAGTGGTTACATTCAGCACATCCGGGGTGCAATGGCTGAGCCTCACCCTGGGTGAACCGCCTTCTTGATCACGGTATCTCCCTTGCCAGGTAAGTATGAATTGTACACGTTGCTAGAGGGGGACTCATTCCAGGGCAAAGGTTTTTGGCTGACGGTTACCACCTTCGACTACTGATAATACCACATCATATCGACCAGGGTTTAATGACGTTTACGAATACAGTTACGGACAAAGCGGTGGAAAAGCGATCCATTTTGTTTAACTATATTATATCACTGTCCGACTATTTTCCCATCATGCAACACGGTAGAAATTCTATTGACCTTATTTTTTTCTATCTGAACGTCCGTCTGATTACACAAAAGTAGGCGATGTACCAAAATGCTGAAACCACGTTTGTGCACACACAGCCAACCGAATGACACCAAATAGTTCTGGTGTTTTGTATCGTTCCAGACATTGTAGGCATCGTTTCCTCACGCTTGTTTTCTGCGGTCAGTAAAATATGATGCCACCATCGACCACAGGGTGGCATACGACCCCCAGATATGGAGGAGAAACAGCAGCCTGCTACTTCATCGACAACAAGACAGTCGTTTTTAGGGTTGTGCAGACATGGCCATACTCGTATTTGTAATTGTATCTGTAAATTCACAGTTGATAGTCGGATCGGATGATACTTGTGATCTGAAAAAAACGGAAGCGTTTTAATATGCCTAAAGAGATGTTGGCAAAATACCTCACTGCAAAAAAAAACTCCAGATAAGGATCAGTGCGCTGAGGTGTGTGTGTGTGTGTGTGTGTGGGCAGCCAAGTTTGCTGCCACTGTCAGAATACACATTAGCGTTTCATCTTTGTTCCCTACAATTGCCCCACTTGTGAGATATTACATTGATAGCAAACGTCCTTGTCGTGTGATTTATCATAGTAGCAGGCAGCAGCAATCTAAATGATAATCTATGATCAGACCAAAAACATGCGAGGAAACGTGACTTCGCATGTTGTGTCGTGCGTTAGAACAGCCCTTAGCCGTGGTATATTGGCCATATACCACACCACCTCGGGGTTAATTCGATAACTGGATTTAGAAAAAAAAAGAGCTGGAATAAATGTACTCATATAATGCTGTCCCTCTATGAATGCGATTTTACTGCTAAGAAAAACATTCAAAATATAAGTCCTTGTCAAACTTCCCGTTCCATGGCTACTACTACTTCCGGGTCAGCTTCGTTCCATGCAATGACATTGTACCAAACATTTACACAATCTATACGGGGAGTGTGTCTGTTCACATTGTTGCTGTACATGTTATGAAAGACACACGTTGACCGACATAGTTTTACAATATGACACCAATGTCGACGGGATTCACTGAAGAGCGACAGGGCAAAGCACAGGTAAACACATAAAGCTGCTACAATAACTAGCTAAACTACCCAAGCTAGCCTGTCACTTGCAGTCTGTTAGCATGCTTACTGCTACTAGCAAGCTGCAGTTCATGTAGGCTAGATAGCTAACGTTTTCGATGCGCTCGAATGCTTGACAATAAAGCAGGTTGCTTCAATGGATATGTGTTGATGAAATCAATGGAGGTTCGTTTTTGTGACAGCTAACCTGTGTGTGTGTGTGTGTGTGTGTGTGTGTGTGTGTGTGTATATAGAGTCCTGTAGGAATGGATTACATCCCCACAGAAGATGAGAGGAGAGTCTTCAGAGAATGCAACCAGGAGAGCTTCTGGTACAGATGTAAGTTACCATGGGTAACACAGACAGACAAAATATCAATACATTTGACAGGAGCCTATATTTGATAGGAGTCAAGTTCACGTTCAAGATATCATTAATTCTAGGTGCAGGTATTGATGCATGGTGTGATTCTAACCTTGTTTCTCCCCTCCCTTCCTACAGCCGTGCCCTTCTCAGTGGTCAGCATGCTTGTCACTCAAGGCCTCATCCATAGAGGTAGGCCCACCTTCCATTTCCCCTCATCACTGTATCTTACTGTACATGTATGATCTTATATAGAATAGTAGCTTCCAGTTAGAGATACCTTAATGACAAGTGCCATCCGAGATGAAGGTGACGAGACAGCAGCCAAAAAGATGGAGGTGTTTGCTGCAGATGAAGAGACAGCAGCCAAAAAGATGGAGGTGTTTGCTGCAGAGGGCTGCAGATGAAGGTGAAGAGACAGCAGCCAAAAAGATGGAGGTGTTTGTTGCAGAGGGCTGCAGATGAAGGTGACGAGACAGCAGACAAAAAGATGGAGGTGTTTGCTGCAGATGAAGAGACAGCAGCCAAAAAGATGGAGGTGTTTGTTGCAGAGGGCTGCAGATGAAGGTGAAGAGACAGCAGACAAAAAGATGGAGGTGTTTGCTGCAGATGAAGGTGACGAGACAGCAGACAAAAAGATGGAGGTGTTTGCTGCAGATGAAGAGACAGCAGCCAAAAAGATGGAGGTGTTTGTTGCAGAGGGCTGCAGATGTTGCACTTTTGAGGAGTGTCTGCAACCCACCCGGTCGACACTTGCCTTTTCTTCCATGAATTGGACTAGTGGCATCAAGACTGACTCTCCTCTGTTCCTTCCTGTCTTAACCCTGGTGGCATCAAGACTGACTCTCCTCTGTTCCTTCCTGTCTTAACCCTGGTGGCATCAAGACCGACTCTCCTCTGTTCCTTCCGGTCTTAACCCTGGTGGCATCAAGACCGACTCTCCTCTGTTCCTTCCTGTCTTAACCCTGGTGGCATCAAGACTGACTCTCCTCTGTTCCTTCCTGTCTTAACCCTGGTGACATCAAGACTGACTCTCCTGTGTTCCTTCCTGTCTTAACCCTGGTGACCTCAAGACTGACTCTCCTGTGTTCCTTCCTGTCTTAACCCTGGTGACATCAAGACTGACTCTCCTCTGTTCCTTCCTGTCTTAACCCTGGTGACATCAAGACTGACTCTCCTGTGTTCCTTCCTGTCTTAACCCTGGTGACCTCAAGACTGACTCTCCTGTGTTCCTTCCTGTCTTTTAGGAGCTCTGACGTCGTCGTCCAGGTTTGGATCCCTCCCTAAAGTGGCCTGTGAGTTCACTGAACACAGACATGTGTGTTTGTGTATAAAGTGTGTGTGCATTGTTATTATGAGAAGGTAACACAGTGTGTGTCCAGTTGCGGGGCTGTGTGGCTACCTGGCAGGGAAGATGTCGTACATGAAGCATTGTCAGGAGAAGTTCAAGAGGCTGGAGCACTCCCCTCTGGGAGAAGCACTGAGACAGAGGACCAGACCCAACGCACAGTCAGTAACACACACACACACACACACACACACACACATTCTCTCACTCACACACACACATTCTCTCACTCACACTCTCTCACACACACACACTCTCCTCTTCTCTCTCAGGTCGTCTCAGGGCCCCCAGTCAGAGATGAGTGACCCCGACCAGGTGACCTTTGACCCCATGTTCCAGGCCTCTGACCCCCAGAGCCAGGTACACACAAAACACACACATTTAAATACTTTCCGAGTCCACCAATCAAATGTACATAACAAATGGATCCAAACATTTCTAAGGTCCCTGTATGCATGGCACTCAACAGTACAGAAAGCACCTCCTTCTCCAAACAGCTTGGCTGCCCACGACGGCTGAAACAGAGCAGTACCTAGCCAACTGCTTTCCTTCTCCATATAGCTCACGACGGCTGAAACAGAGCAGTACCTAGCCAACTGCTTTCCTTCTCCATATAGCCCACGACGGCTGAAACAGAGCAGTACCTAGCCAACTGCTTTCCTTCTCCATATAGCCCACGACGGCTGAAACAGAGCAGTACCTAGCCAACTGCTTTCCTTCTCCATATAGCCCACGACAGCTGAAACAGAGCAGTACCTAGCCAACTGCTTTCCTTCTCCATATAGCCCACGACGGCTGAAACAGAGCAGTACCTAGCCAACTGCTTTCCTTCTCCATATAGCCCACGACAGCTGAAACAGAGCAGTACCTAGCCAACTGCTTTCCTTCTCCATATAGCCCACGACGGCTGAAACAGAGCAGTACCTAGCCAACTGCTTTCCTTCTCCATATAGCCCACGACAGCTGAAACAGAGCAGTACCTAGCCAACTGCTTTCCTTCTCCATATAGCCCACGACGGCTGAAACAGAGCAGTACCTAGCCAACTGCTTTCCTTCTCCATATAGCCCACGACAGCTGAAACAGAGCAGTACCTAGCCAACTGCTTTCCTTCTCCATATAGCCCACGACGGCTGAAACAGAGCAGTACCTAGCCAACTGCTTTCCTTCTCCATATAGCCCACGACGGCTGAAACAGAGCAGTACCTAGCCAACTGCTTTCCTTCTCCATATAGCCCACGACAGCTGAAACAGAGCAGTACCTAGCCAACTGCTTTCCTTCTCCATATAGCCCACGACGGCTGAAACAGAGCAGTACCTAGCCAACTGCTTTCCTTCTCCATATAGCCCACGACGGCTGAAACAGAGCAGTACCTAGCCAACTGCTTTCCTTCTCCATATAGCCCACGACAGCTGAAACAGAGCAGTACCTAGCCAACTGCTTTCCTTCTCCATATAGCCCACGACGGCTGAAACAGAGCAGTACCTAGCCAACTGCTTTCCTTCTCCATATAGCCCACGACAGCTGAAACAGAGCAGTACCTAGCCAACTGCTTTCCTTCTCCATATAGCCCACGACGGCTGAAACAGAGCAGTACCTAGCCAACTGCTTTCCTTCTCCATATAGCCCACGACAGCTGAAACAGAGCAGTACCTAGCCACTGCTTTCCGTCTCCATATAGCCCACGACAGCTGAAACAGAGCATACCTAGCCAACTGCTTTCCTTCTCCATATAGCCCACCGACAGCTGAAAACAGAGCAGTACCTAGCCAACTGCTTTCCTTCCTCCATATAGCCCACGACGGCTGAAACAGAGCAGTACCTAGCCAACAGCTTTCCTTCTCCATATAGCCCACGACAGCTGAAACAGAGCAGTACCCAGCCAACTGCTTTCCGTCTCCATATAGCCCACGACAGCTGAAACAGAGCAGTACCTAGCCAACAGCTTTCCTTCTCCAAATAGCTCACGACAGCTGAAACAGAGCAGTACCTAGCCAACTGCTTTCCTTCTCCAATAGCCCACACAGCTTGAAACAGAGCAGTACCTAGCCAACTGCTTTCCTTCTCCAAATAGCTCACGACAGCTGAAACAGAGCAGTACCTAGCCAACTGCTTTCCTTCTCCAAATAGCTCACGACGGCTGAAATAGAGCAGTACCTAGCCAACTGCTTTCCTTCTCCAAATAGCTCACGACAGCTGAAACAGAGCAGTACCTAGCCAACTGCTTTCCTTCTCCAAATAGCTCACGACGGCTGAAATAGAGCAGTACCTAGCCAACTGCTTTCCTTCTCCAAATAGCTCACGACGGCTGAAACAGAGCAGTACCTAGCCAACTGCTCTGCCAAAGTTGTTGTCACCTCCCCCTAGCCTGCCTAGCCCCCCTGGCCCCCCCACAACAACACTATATGGTGTATTTGACACACAGGAAAATACATAATCAAACCAGCTTCCTGTTACACAAGACTGTTTATGGATGTGTGCTGTTGGTGAAACTACCTGTCTCACCTCGCTGGCTATCAGGTCGACAAGGCGGTCATGTCTAGCAATGTACAAATCCTTGTATGAACGGCAACCAATCACAACATGGGCAACGGACTCCGTAACATTTGACTCATGTAGAATACAAAATGGGTCATGGTTTGCAGGGTACCAGAGTGCTAGATTATATTTTTGTTGGTAGAACTTGCAGCTTCGCCTTAACAGTAAAGGTGAGAATGTCCTCGCCAAATGGCAGCATTCTGGTACATGGAATGGGAGACAGAGAGGTCAGCACAGTCCAGAACAGTGAGTTTCCCCCTGCAGCCTCAGGCCAGTCCAGTTTCCCCCTGCAGCCTCAGGCCAGTCCAGTTTCCCCCTGCAGCCTCAGGCCAGTCCAGTTTCCCCTGCAGCCTCAGGCCAGTCCAGTTTCCCCCTGCAGCCTCAGGCCAGTCCAGTTTCCCCCTGCAGCCTCAGGCCAGTCCAGTTTCCTCCTGCAGCCTCAGGCCAGTCCAGTTTCCCCCTGCAGCCTCAGGCCAGTCCAGTTTCCCCCTGCAGCCTCAGGCCAGTCCAGTTTCCCCCGGCAGCCTCAGGCCAGTCCAGTTTCCCCCTGCAGCCTCAGGCCAGTCCAGTTTCTCCTGCAGCCTCAGGCCAGTCCAGTTTCCCCTGCAGCCTCAGGCCAGTCCAGTTCCCCCTGCAGCCTCAGGCCAGTCCAGTTTCCCCTGCAGCCTCAGGCCAGTCCAGTTTCCCCCTGCAGCCTCAGGCCAGTCCAGTTTCCCCCTGCAGCCTCAGGCCAGTCCAGTTTCCCCCTGCAGCCTCAGGCCAGTCCAGTGTTGCAGTAGCTGCGTCCGTCTGATACCGAGGAGTGTTGTCCTGGATGCAGGATGGAGATGGGTGACGGAAGCCTCCACAACACAACACCCGCAGTCACTGGCTCAGTTTGCATATCAGTCCGTGTCCACCTGAGCTCCACTCAGTACTACACCATGTGCTCTGTGTAAGTGTCCCGTTTTGATTCTGTGTGTCAGGTCCCACCCGACGCCAGAGACTATGGATACAGTGACGCCCCCACCCCAGCAGCACAGACCAGCCGCACCGCTGCAGACATCGACTACAACATGCCAGGTAACCATGGCAGCAAGCAGTAACCTAACTCTGGATGGGGAGTCTGTTAGATGACTAATGTGATGTAGTTGTTGAGCGGCTTCACTGCTAGTATATTGTATGTTTTAAATATTCAATAAATATAAAAAAAAAAAAAAAAAAAAAAAAAGTAGTAACCTAACTACAGCGTTAACCATGACAACCGCCACGGGATCCTCCTAGTTAACTGCCTGATTAACCTCAGTCTGACCCTTTCCACCTCTCCTCCTGCAGCCCGACCTCTGAACTCTGACCTCTAACCTGTAATCTTGGACGTCTCTCTCCCCTGCAGCCCGACCTCTGACCTCTAACCTCTAACCTGTAATCTTGGACGTCTCTCTCCCCTGCAGCCCAGGGTCGTTTTCTAACTAGGAACCGAGCGGAGGGTGGAGTTGCCCCCTAGACACTGATCTTAGGTCAGTTGCAATAGGAAGTCCCACCCAATAGGAAGTCCCACCCAATAGGAAGTCCCACCCAATAGGAAGTCCCACCCAATAGGAAGTCCCACCCAGTTGGTTTCATCTCGCTGTGATATTCTACCCTATTGATCTTAGGTCAGTTGCAATAGGAAGTCCCACCCAGTTGACTACTTTAGAATTGTCCTCAATGACAATGTCCATGTTTAAACAAGTTATTTCCAAGTAGATATCTATCTACACTGAACAAAAATAAACGTAACATGCAACAATTTCTCAAATTTGACTGAGTTACAGTTCATATGAGGAAATCGGTCAAATGAAATAAATGTATTAGGCCCTAATCTATGGATTTCACATGACTGGGAATACAGATATGCATATGTTGGTCACAGATACCTTACAAAAAAAAGATAGGGGCGTGGATCAGAAAACCAGTCAGTATCTGGTGTGACCAGCATATGCCTCATGCAGCGCGACACATCTCCTTCGCATAGAGTTGATCAGGCTGTTGATTGTGGCCTGTGGAATGTTGTCCCACTCCTCTTCAATGGCTGTGTCGAAGTTGTTGGATATTGGCGGGAACTGGAACACCACGGTGTTGTATACGTCGATCCAGAGCATCCCAAACATGCTCAATGGGTGACATGTCTGGTGAGTATGCAGATTATGGAACTGGGACATTTTTCAGATTCCAAGAATTCTGTACAGATCCTTGCGACATGGGGCCGTGCATTATCATGCTGAAACATGAATGTGATGGCGGCGGATGAATGGCCTCAGGATCTCGTCACGGTATCTCTGTGCGTTCAAATTGCCATCGATAAAATGCAATTGTGTTTGTCGTCCGTAGCTTATGCCTGCCCATACCATAACCCCACCGCCACCATGGGGAACTCTGTTTACATCAGCAAACTGCTCCCCCACGTGACTCCATCTGCCCGGTTCAGTTGAAACTGAGATTCATCCGTGAAGAGCACACTTCCCCAGTGTGCTAGTGGCCATTTGAAGGTTAGCATTTTCCCACAGAAGTCGGTTACGACACCCAACTGCAGTCAGGTCAAGACCCTGGTGAGGACGAACGAGCACGCAGATGAGCTTCCCTGAGATGTTTTCTGACAGTTTGTGCAGAAATTATTCGGTTATGAAAACCCACAGTTTTCATCGGCTGTCCGGGTGGCTTGTCTCAGACCATCCTGCAGGTGAAAAAGTCGGATGTGGAGTTCCTGGGTTGGCGTGGTTACACGTGGTCTGCGGTTGTGAGACCGGTTGGACGTACTGCCAATTTCTCTAAAGCGGCTTATGGTAGGGAAATGAAATTTCAATTCTCTGGCAACAGCTCTGGTGGACATTCCTGCAGTCAGCATGCTAATTGCATGCTGCCTCAAAACTGGAGACATCTGTGGCATTGTGTTGTGTGACAAAACTGTACATTTTACTTGTCCTTTTATTGTCCCCAGCACAAGTTGCACCTGTGTAATGAGCATGCTGTTTAATCAGCTTCTTGATATGCCTCACCTATCAGGTGGATGGATTATCTTGGCAAAGGAGAAATGCTCACTAACAGGGATGTAAACAAATTTGTGCACAACATGAGAGAAATAAGCTTTTTGTGCGTATGGAACATTTCTGGGATATTTTATTTCAGCTCTTGAATCATGGGACCAACACTTTACATGTTGCGTTTATATTTTTGTTCAGTATATCTGCACCTAGGGAAAACGTCACCCCGGAGCAAACTGTGGGGCCCTACCTGAATTTGTCCAATAAAGTGCTTGTGATCGTTTTCCTGACCCCGTCACCTCTGACCTCTGCCCCCTTCCAGCCCAGTCGTTCCTGGATGACGAGGAACCCAGGAGGAAGCCCATCATGTACGAGCACCTAAGGAACAAGAACCGAGAGAACTATGAGGTCACGCTTACCCAGAAGGCTGAGACGCTGCTCAAACCAGAGCCTGACCGGCAAGAGAGGACCGCCCCCAAGATGGACGGTGAGTCAGTGACTGTGTCCTAAATGGCACCCTATTCCCTATATAGTGCACTACTTTAGACCAGAGAATGGCACCCTATTCCCTATATAGTGCACTACTTTAGACCAGAGAATGGCACCCTATTCCCTATATAGTGCACTACTTTAGACCAGAGAATGGCACCCTATTCCCTATATAGTGCACTACTTTAGACCAGAGAATGCCACCCTATTCCCTATATAGTGCACTACTTTAGACCAGAGAATGGCACCCTATTCCCTATATAGTGCACTACTTTAGACCAGAGAATGGCCCCCTATTCCCTATATAGTGCACTACTTTAGACCAGAGAATGGCACCCTATTCCCTATATAGTGCACTACTTTAGACCAGAGAATGGCCCCCTATCCCTACATAGTGCACTACTTTAGACCAGAGAATGGCACCCTATTCCCTATATAGTGCACTATTTAGACCAGAGAATGGCACCCTATTCCCTATATAGTGCACTACTTTAGACCAGAGAATGGCACCCTATTCCCTATATAGTGCACTACTTTAGACCAGAGAATGGCACCCTATTCCCTATATAGTGCACTACTTTAGACCAGAGAATGGCACCCTATTCCCTATATAGTGCACTACTTTAGACCAGAGAATGGCACCCTATTCCCTATATAGTGCACTACTTTAGACCAGAGAATGGCACCCTATTCCCTATATAGTGCACTATTTAGACCAGAGAATGGCACCCTATTCCCTATATAGTGCACTACTTTAGACCAGAGAATGCCACCCTATTCGCTATATAGTGCACTACTTTAGACCAGAGAATGCCACCCTATTCACTATATAGTGCACTACTTTAGACCAGAGAATGGCACCCTATTCACTATATAGCGCACTACTTTAGACCAGAGAATGCCACCCTATTCACTATGTAGTGCACTACTTTAGACCAGAGAATGGCACCCTATTCACTATATAGTGCACTACTTTAGACCAGAGCCTATAGGCTTCTGTGTGCCATTTGACGCAGCCTCTGTGCCCATGTTCAGATACTTGTCCTATGTGCGAGAATATAACGTTTCCCAGTATGTGTAATATTATTATTATTATATTTTAAATGCCATTCCGGCTTTTCATCTAGTATGAATTGGCTGCACGTTATTGAGAAAGAGAAGTCTTCAGACCCACTTGTCTGACAACAGCTGATAATCAAGCCAATAGGGTCGTGTTCATTAGGCGTTACTGAGGAAGAGAAGTCTTCAACAGCTGATAATCAAGCCAATAGGGTCGTGTTCATTAGGCGTTACTGAGGAAGAGAAGTCTTCAACAGCTGATAATCAAGCCAATAGGGTCATGTTCATTAGGCGTTACTGAGGAAGAGAAGTCTTCAACAGCGGATAATCAAGCCAATAGGGTCATGTTCATTAGGCGTTACTGAGGAAGAGAAGTCTTCAACAGCGGATAATCAAGCCAATAGGGTCGTGTTCATTAGGCGTTACTGAGGAAGAGAAGTCTTCAACAGCTGATAATCAAGCCAATAGGGTCATGTTCATTAAGGGTGCAACGTTTCCAGAGAGGAGAAAATAATAATGTTGTTCATCGTCCCTTCATCCTCTCCTCTATTCTCTGCTCCTTTCATTCTTTCAGCGGGGAAGAAGAATGTCTACGGAGACAGCTGGGAGGAGGAGTGAGTCTCTCCATCCCACCTCGTCATCTGTTATCACTGGCAGTGCTGATTGCGCAACGATACCCACAAAAAAAAACCATGTGGTTGCTTTGCTATGATTTAGGTCTCAATTTATTAAAATGGGAGAATCTCAATTGCTTTTCCTTGTTTCCCCTCTCCTCGTCTTCTCAAAACCCATTGGATGAGAAGGTCAGAGGGCAGGCAGGTAGCCTAGTGGTTAAGAGCGTTGGGCCAGTAACCGAAAGGTCGCTGGTTCGAATCTCCGAAACCGACTAGGTGAAAAATCTGTCATTTAACCCTAATTGCTCCTGTAAGTTGCTCTGGATAAGAGTCTGCTAAATTACTAATGTTTTTTTTATTTATTTTTATTAGGGACCTGCCGAATGCGAGGAATGAAGGAAATGCAATTGAGATTCTCCCATTGTCTGTCTGATTCTGTCTTTTGAAAACATGTCAATAAACCCAAATAGGTTTTCAGAATGCGTAATGTTGTCTTTGCGTGTCTTGTCTGTTGCAATCATAGAGAATGATAGAGGCCTCTAGTGGCCAAAAGGCCGTATTAGCATGGGGAGAGCCATTGAGGGCTTCCACCATTTTAATACAGTCAACTGGGTGGGACTTCCAACTTCGTTAGCTGATACCTCCTGGTGACCCTGTTGTCGTCATGTCCAACGTCATCAGGAGTGATCAGCCAATCGTGAAGAAAATGTACTACTTAAATTGAGATTGCCTCAATGGTGCTGCCACAGACGCAAAAATGGCACACATACAAAGGTAAGTCATCTATCTCCATGTTTACAATCTGCCGACCTAGGGTCAATAAACAGTATGGATTGGAATGTGTCGTTTTTAAAATGCACACAGCTTAGTAAGATACAACTAATGAAAACAATTGTTTTCCTATAGACGGTTGCTTCATATGATAAAGCTTTAGTGGTATGGACAGACGGAAGAGGTTTAGCTCATGTGTGATCATCATGGCACACTGGTACAGTCACAAGCAGGCCTAATCATCTCAACTCTGAATCACATGTCTGTTCTTTACTGCAACTATAAATCAATTACAAATAGCTATATACCTTCACCAAAAACATACGATAGCTAGCTACTCTTAGATACATATGTTGAGAGCAAATATTGATATGTAGAACAGAAAGCCATTTGGAATACAGAATAAATACATTCTGTGGAATTCCTAAATCGATGACGCAAGAACGTCTCTCCCCCTTCCGGTTTGGGCGGGGCACTGCGGCGGATGTTGATGTTCTGTTTTGGAGACCCACCACCAGAGCTAGCTAGCGAGCTTTCGTCGTTGCCGGATACTTTTTTGTTTGGTTGTTGTCCGACGTTTTCTTTAATCGTTTTCAAATAGGGAAGCATCCACTCCCTAAAGACGGCACCGTGTCTCTCCCGGCTCCTCACCGGGGAAGCGCGAGGCCGAGTCGTGCGATGATGGAGGACTTCGACGAGATCTACGAGGAGGAGGAGGAAGAGGAAGAGGACGAGGAGAGGGCCGCTGAGGAGCAGCTGCTAAAGTACGCTCCAGACCCGGTGGTCGTCCGAGGATCTGGCCACGTCACTGTGTAAGCAACCGGCAGGGCTCGCGGGGTGGTTGGGAAAGACCGAAGCACCCGTAGGTAGCTAACGTTAGTCGTCATAAAATAACGATTAGCTAAGCGCTATGTAGCTAGCTAGTAAACGAAAGTACACTACGAACCCCGTTTAGCATTAACTAGCTTGTTAGCAGAAAGCTAGCTTGTTAGCTAACATAATCAGGTCGGTGTATTTACGATAACATGGCCAGCCTATTAGTCTGTCAACTTAGCTACTAACTAGCTACCTTTAAAAAAAAATGACTTAACATTTAACTATAAATATACTTTCCATATGTGGTCTAGTAAAATAGTTAAAATATAACGTCACTCAAGGGGTTATGAGGCTAACTAGTGACAGTGTTGTGTGCATCAAATAATGCATTTACTTGCCATGTTCTTGTCCCCGAAGGTTTGGACTCAGTAACAAGTTTGAGTCAGAGTTCCCGTCGGCACTTACAGGGAAGGTGAGTCCACGAAAGCACATACATGTTCTGTAAAAGGAAGCATTTCACGGTAAGGTGCATTTGACAAATAAAAAATTTGATTTGATTTAAAGCTGCCATTTTCGACATGTGCCCCTCAGAGGTTTACTGATTTGCAGGTGGTCAGGGCAGTTGCCAGGTGTGCATCAACCATGATTGTATATTTTTTTTGTATTGGGATAGTGTTGCGGTGCCATTCTCTAGAAACAACTATCATACCCGGCAACCCTGCATTTCCAGCTAGCTACTAACTCTGCGAGAATACCTTACAAAAGGCAATTTTACAGTATTGTAACTTTGTAGTATTGTATATGCAACTTTAACGTATAAAGATTCACCTGAATTCATTGGAACAACCTTGTGTTTATTAGGACGTAATATCGACTCCCCCAAGACAGCTAACGATCTTTCTTGGAGCCGTTGGTAGTGTGCAGGTCTCCCCACCAGAATCTTCTGGGTTCGATTCCACCCTCGGACAAGCTCACGCTCCCTACCTGTTTCAGTACATTTTATGTTGAATTATGAATAATTAATCTGATGTTAGTATTTCCCCCGTGGTTGTCCTGTGTTCCTAGGTGGCGCCAGAGGAGTTCAAGGCCAGTATGAACCACGTTAACGGCTGTCTGAAGAAGACGCTGCCAGTGAACGTGCGGTGGCTGCTGTGTGGCTGTCTCTGTTGTTGCTGTACACTGGGCTTCAGTCTCTGGCCCGTCATCTGTCTGAGCAAGAGGGTGAGACACACACTGAGATATATACACTGGGCTTCAGTCTCTGGCCCGTCATCTGTCTAAGCAAGAGGGTGAGACACACACTGAGATATATACACTGGGCTTCAGTCTCTGGCCCGTCATCTGTCTGAGCAAGAGGGTGAGACACACACTGAGATATATACACTGGGCTTCAGTCTCTGGCCCGTCATCTGTCTAAGCAAGAGGGTGAGACACACACTGAGATATATACACTGGGCTTCAGTCTCTGGCCCGTCATCTGTCTGGGCAAGAGGGTGAGACACACACTGAGATATATACACTGGGCTTCAGTCTCTGGCCTGTCATCTGTCTAAGCAAGAGGGTGAGACACACACTGAGATATATACACTGGGCTTCAGTCTCTGGCCCGTCATCTGTCTAAGCAAGAGGGTGAGACACACACTGAGATATATACACTGGGCTTCAGTCTCTGGCCCGTCATCTGTCTGAGCAAGAGGGTGAGACACACACTGAGATATATACACTGGGCTTCAGTCTCTGGCCCGTCATCTGTCTAAGCAAGAGGGTGAGACACACACTGAGATATATACACTGGGCTTCAGTCTCTGGCCCGTCATCTGTCTGAGCAAGAGGGTGAGACACGCACACTGAGACACACACTGATATATATATATATATATATATACACACACACTGAGACATATACACACTGAGACATATACACACTGAGACATATACACACTGAGACATATACACACACTGAGACACACACACTGAGACACACACACTGAGATATATACACACACTGATATATATACACACTGAGACACACTGAGATATATATATATACACACTGAGATATATACACACACACACACACACACACTGAGATGCACACAGTGAGATACAGTTGAAGTCGGAAGTTTACATACACTTAGGTTGGAGACATTAACTCGTTTTTCAACCACTCCACAAATTTCTTGTTAAACTATAGTTTTGGCAAGTCGGTTAGGACATCTACTTTGTGCATGACACAAGTAATTTTTCCAACAATTGTTTACAGACAGATTATTTCTCTTATAATTCACTGTATCACAATTCCAGTGGGTCAGAAGTTTACACACACTAAGTTGACTGTGCCTTTAAACAGCTTGGAAAATTCCAGAAAATGATGTCATGGCTTTAGAAGCTTCTGATAGGCTAATTGACATCATTTGAGTCAATTGGAGGTGTACCTGTGGATGTATTTCAAGGCCTACCTTCAAACTCGGTGCCTCTTTGCTTGACATCATGGGAAAATCAAAAGAAATCAGCCAAGAACTCAGAAAAAAAATTGTAGACCTCCACAAGTCTGGTTCATCCTTGGGAGCAATTTCCAAACGCTTGAAGGTACCACGTTCATCTGTACAAACAATAGTACGCAAGTATAAACACCATGGGACCACGCAGCCGTCATACCGCTCAGGAAGGAGACGCGTTCTGTCTCCTAGAGATGAACGTACTTTGGTGCGAAAAGTGCAAATCAATCCCAGAACAACAGCAAAGGACCTTGTGAAGATGCTGGAGGAAACCGGTACAAAAGTATCTATATCCACAGTAAAACAAGTCCTATATCGACATAACCTGAAAGGCCGCTCAGCAAGGAAGAAGCCACTGCTCCAAAACCGCCATAAAAAAGCCAGACAACTGTTTGCAACTGCACATGGGGACAAAGGTCGTACTTTTTGGAGAAATGTCCTCTGGTCTGATGAAACAAAAATAGAACCGTTTGGCCATAATGGCCATCGTTATGTTTGGAGAAAAAAGGGGGTGCTTGCAAGCCGAAGAACACCATCCCAACTGTAAAGCACGGGGGTGGCAGCATCATGCTGTGGGGGTGCTTTGCTGCAGGAGGGACTGGTGCACTTCACAAAATAGATGGCATCATGAGGAAGGAAAATGATGTGGATATATTGAAGCAACATCTCAAGACATCAGTCAGGAAGTTAAAGCTTGGTCGCAAATGGGTCTTCCTAATGGACAATGACCCCAAGCATACTTCCAAAGTTGTGGCAAAATGGCTTAAGGACAAAGTCAAGGTATTGGAGTGGCCATCGCAAAGCCCTGACCTCAATCCTATAGAAAATGTGTGGGCAGAACTGAAAAAGCGTGTGCGAGCAAGGAGGCCTACAAACCTGACTCAGTTACACTAGTTCTGTCAGAAGGAATGGGCCAAAATTCACCCAACTTATTGTGGGAAGCTTGTGGAAGGCTACCCGACACGTTTGACCCAAGTTAAACAATTTAAAGGCAATGCTATCAAATACTCATCGAGTGTATGTAAACTTCTGACCCACTGGGAATGTGATGAAAGAAATAAAAGCTGAAATACATTAATTCTCTCTACTATTATTCTGACATTACACATTCTTAAAATAAAGTGGTGATCCTAACTGACCTAAGACAGGGAATTTTTACTAGGATTAAATGTCAGGAATTGTGAAAAACTGAGTTTAAATATATTTGGCTAAGGTGTATGTAAACTTACGACTTCAACTGTGTGTGTGTATATGTGTGTATATATATATATATATATACACACTCACACACTGAGATATATATCTATATAGATATATATATACACACACACAGAGCTCATATATATACACTGCTCAAAAAAATAAAGGGAACACTTAAACAACACAATGTAACTCCAAGTCAATCACACTTCTGTGAAATCAAACTGTCCACTTAGGAAGCAACACTGATTGACAATACATTTCACATGCTGTTGTGCAAATGGAATAGACAACAGGTGGAAATTATAGGCAATTAGCAAGACACCCCCCAATAAAGGACTGGTTTTGCAGGTGGTGACCACAGACCACTTCTCAGTTCCTATGCTTCCTGGCTGATGTTTTGGTAACTTTTGAATGCTGGCGGTGCTTTCACTCTAGTGGTAGCATGAGACTGAGTCTACAACCCACACAAGTGGCTCAGGTATTGCAGCTCATCCAGGATGACACATCAATGCGAGCTGTGGCAAGAAGGTTTGCTGTCTGTCAGCGTAGTGTCCAGAGCATGGAGGCGCTACCAGGAGACAGGCCAGTACATCAGGAGACGTGGAGGAGGCCGTAGGAGGGCAACAACCCAGCAGCAGGACTGCTACCTCCGCCTTTGTGCAAGGAGGAGCAGGAGGAGCACTGCCAGAGCCCTGCAAAATGACCTCCAGCAGGCCACAAATGTGCATGTGTCTGCTCAAACGGTCAGAAACAGACTCTATGAGGGCCCGACGTCCACAGGTGGGGATTGTGCTTACAGCCCAACACCGTGCAGGACGTTTGGCATTTGCCAGAGAACACCAAGATTGGCAAATTCGCCACTGGCGTCCTGTGCTCTTCACAGATGAAAGAAGGTTCACGCTGAGCACGTGACAGACGTGACAGAGTCTGGAGACGCCGTGGAGAACGTTCTGCTGCCTGCAACATCCTCCAGCATGACCGGTTTGGCGGTGGGTCAGTCATGGTGTGGGGTGGCATTTATTTGGGGGGCCGCACAGCCCTCCATGTGCTCGCCAGAGGTAGCCTGACTGCCATTAGGTACCGAGATGAGATCCTCAGACCCCTTGTGAGACCATATGCTGGTGCGGTTGGCCCTGGGTTCCTCCTAATGCAAGACAATGCTAGACCTCATGTGGCTGGAGTGTGTCAGCAGTTCCTGCAAGAGGAAGGCATTGATGCTATGGACTGGCCCGCCCGTTCCCCAGACCTGAATCCAATTGAGCACATCTGGGACATCATGTCTCGCTCCATCCACCAACGCCACGTTGCACCACAGACTGTCCAGGAATTGGCGGATGCTTTAGTCCAGGTCTGGGAGGAGATCCGCCACCTCATCAGGAGCATGCCCAGGTGTTGTAGGGAGGTCATACAGGCACGTGGAGGCCACACACACTACTGAGCCTCATTTTGACTTGTTTTAAGGACATTACATCAAAGTTGGATCAGCCTGTAGTGTGGTTTTCCACTTTAATTTTGAGGGTGACTCCAAATCCAGACTTCCATGGGTTGATACATTTGATTTCCATTGATTATTTTTGTGTGATTTTGTTGTCAGCACATTCAACTATGTAAAGAAAAAAAGTATTTAATAAGATTATTTCATTCATTCAGATCTAGGATGTGTTATTTTAGTGTTCCCTTAATTTTTTTGAGCAGTGTATATACACACACTGAGACACACACCCACTGAGATATATATATATATACACACACACTGAGACACACACACACACCCACTGAGATATATATATATATATACACACACACACACACACACACACACACTGAGAAACACACACACACACACACTGATATATATATATATATATATATATATATATATACACACACACACTCACACACACTGAGATATATATATATATATATACACACACACACTCACACACACTGAGATATATATATATATATATATATATATATATATATATATATATATATATACACAGACATGCGTGCCCTGACACTCACACAGACAGATACACACAGACCATACTCAAGGTTACCCGTCTCTCTCTCCTCCACAGACAGATAGACACAGACCATACTCAAGGTTACCCGTCTCTCTCTCCTCCACAGACAGATAGACACAGACCATACTCAAGGTTACCCGTCTCTCTCTCCTCCACAGACAGATAGACACAGACCATACTCAGGTACCCGTCTCCTCTCTCCCAGACAGATAACACAGACCTACTCAAGGTTACCCGTCTCTCTCTCCTCCACAGACCCAGAGATCCATGGAGAAGCTGTTGGAGTGGGAGAACAGCCGACTGTACCACAAGGTGTGTTGGCGGGGGGGGGGGGGGGGGTGGAGAGGTAGTTAAGTTTGACTACTCTCTCTCTCTGTGTCTCTCTCTCTCTGTTCTTCTCTCCCTCTCGTGTCCTCTCTCTCTCTCGTCTCTTTCCTCTCTCTCTCTCTTGCTCTCTCTCTCTCTCTCCTCTGTCTCTCTCTTCCTGTCCTTCTCTTCCTCTCTCTGCTCTCTCTGTCTCTCTCTCTGTCTCTCTCTGTCTCTCTCTCTGTCTCTCTCTCTGTCTCTCTCTCTCTCTCTCTCTGTCTCTCTCTCTCTCTCTGTCTCTCTCTCTCTCTCTCTCTGTCTCTCTCTCTGTCTCTCTCTCTGTCTCTGTCTCTGTCTCTCTCAGCTGTGTCTACATTGGAGGCTGAGCAAGAGGAAGTGTGAAACCAACAACATGATGGAATATGTGAGTATCATATATACACACACAGAAACATGATGGAGTACTTGAGTAACACACACACACTTTGAATAACCTCTGTCTCGCTCTCTCTCTCTTCCCCGTCAGGTAATCCTGATAGAGTTCCTACCCAAGATCCCCATCCTCAGACCGGACTAGCCCTCCGTGGGCTCCACCCACATCCTCCCATGGTGCCTCTCTTCACTTGGCTCAGTCACCTATCCAAAATGGCCCCCTCTTTCCTCCCCTAACCAGCCACATACCCATGAAACTACACCACCATTTTGTGTTTACTGGGTATCGTCTGACTTCTCTATATAGCCCCTCTATATACCCAGAAAACACCTGTTTACACCCTAAAGGCCCTCCCCCTTCTCTGATATCAACCTTTGACCCCTGACCTATTGACTGTCACCGGTTTGTGGGTGGTCATTGGGAGACCCAGCTCAGAAAGGTGTTAACGGAACCATAGAACTGTGGAATTGGAGAACGTGGACTCCTAGCTCTGGACCTGCAATGATGAACCCCTCCTCACACCCCTTCCCTGTACACGAGGCACAATCTTTACTCAGATTTATACCCCCTTATATTGTTCCCCAACCTGAACTATGAGACACTCCGTGCTGTTCTAGAACCTCTATGGAACCGCTGAGGTAACAATCAAATGGATTAGCTACGGAACTTCTACAGAACATTAACAGAACTTCTATAGAACATTGACATAACTTCAATGGATTAGCTAGGGAACTCTGACAGAACATCATTAGAACAGCTATGGAACTCCAACGGAACATTGGTAGAACAGTTGTGGAACTTGCAGCATCATCAGCCTTTTGACTAGTCAAGTGTATCATTAGAAAGAACAGCCAAACTAAACACAGAGGCTACGTCTGAAATGGTACCCTATTCCCTAACAGGGCTCTGGCCAAAAGTATGGCGCTATCTAGGGAATAGACTGCTATTTCAGATGGAAGCCCTAGACTCCCCTATCTCCTCCCAATAGGGTGTCATTTCAGATGGAAGACTCCCCTATCTCCTCCCAATAGGGTGTCATTTCAGATGGAAGCCCTAGACTCCCCTATCTCCTCCCAATAGGGTGTCATTTCAGATGGAAGCCCTAGACTCCCCTATCTCCTCCCAATAGGGTGTCATTTCAGATGGAAGCCCTAGACTCCCCTATCTCCTCCCAATAGGGTGTCATTTCAGATGGAAGCCCTAGACTCCCCTATCTCCTCCCAATAGGGTGTCATTTCAGATGGAAGCCCTAGACTCCCCTATCTCCTCCCAATAGGGTGTCATTTCAGATGGAAGCCCTAGACTCCCCTATCTCCTCCCAATAGGGTGTCATTTCAGATGGAAGCCCTAGACTCCCCTATCTCCTCCCAATAGGGTGTCATTTCAGATGGAAAGCCCTAGACTCCCTATCTCCTCCAATAGGGTGTCCATTTGCAGATGGAAGCCCTAGACTCTCCTATCTCTTCCCCAATAGGGTGTCCATTTCAGATGGGAAGCCCTAGACTCTCCCCCTATCTCCTCCCAAATAGGTGGCAATTTCAGCTGGAGCCCTAACCTTCCCCCTATCTTCCTCCCAATAGGGTTTTCATTTCAGATGAAGCCCTAGACTCCCCTATCTCCTCCCAATAGGGTGTCATTTCAGATGGAAGCCCTAGACTCCCCATCTCACTTCCCAATAGGGTGTCATTTTCAGATGGAAGCCCTATACTCCCCTATCTCCCTCCCCAATAGGGGTGTCATTTCAGATGGAAAGCCCTAGACTCCCCTACTCCTCCCAATAGGGTGTCATTTCAGATGGAAGCCCTAGACTCCCCTATCTCTTCCCAATAGGGTGTCATTTCAGATGGAAGCCCTAGACTCCCCTATCTCCTCCCAATAGGGTGTCATTTCAGATGGAAGACTCCCCTATCTCCCTCATCTCTACACACTAGACTGTCACCCCTAAACCAGAGACAATCACACAAACTGTCTGACTGTACTCTATGGTCACAGACCTCAAATGGCACCCTAGTCCCCATATAATGTACTACTTTCCCCACAGCTCTGGTCTAAAGTAGTGCACTTCATTGGGAATAGGGTGCCAGTTGGGATTATAGCCTATGTGTATGGACCCCTATGCTACACCTGGACATGGGCCGGTTTCCTGTATCCATGGCGCTGGGCTGTAGTGTCAGTCTAGCGACCGTTGCCTAGCGACAGGCAGAGGACTGATGATCAGCGATGCAGAACGAACGGAACTGATTGTTTTTCTTCACCTTGTTTTTTTTGTTTACCTGTTCTGGTTTTGTTTACCTGTTCTGGTTTTGTTTACCTGTTCTGGTTTTGTTTACCTGTTCTGGTTTTGTTTACCTGTTCTGGTTTTGTTTACCTGTTCTGGTTTTACCTGTTCTGTGACAAGGAAGGTGGATGTTTTTGCATTACTGCTCTCGGTGTGTGTGTGTCTCATTTTGAATGTGTGTGTATTAGATGAATGCCAGCAGGCTTCCCAGCCAACCAATGGTGAACAGACAGAACCGTGGTGGAATACTCACCTGAGTTAAAGGCTGAGTCGTAAATGGTACCTTATTCCCTTTGTAGTGCACTACTTTAGACCAGTAATGCACTGTATAGTGAATAGGGTGCCATTTGGAAGTCATTCCAAGCTGCACTCCTCATGACCCTTGTTGCTCAAACACTAATGGCTGGGTTTGGTTTAGTCTTTCTTTAATCACTGGTGTCTCTCTCTCTCTTTTTCATCACTGATCTCTTTTCTCCACTGGTATCTCTCTCTCTTCTCCACTGGTATCTCTCTCTCTTCTCCACTGGTATCTCTCTCTCTTCTCCACTGGTATCTCTCTCTCTCTCTTCTCCACTGGTATCTCTCTCTCTCTCTTCTCCACTGGTATCTCTCTCTCTCTCTTCTCCACTGGTATCTCTCTCTCTTCTCCACTGGTATCTCTCTCTCTCTCTCTTCTCCACTGGTATCTCTCTCTCTCTCTTCTCCACTGGTATCTCTCTCTCTCTCTTCTCCACTGGTATCTCTCTCTCTCTCTTCTCCACTGGTATCTCTCTCTCTCTCTTCTCCACTGGTATCTCTCTCTCTCTGCATCGGTGCTCTCCCTACTTTTAACCTACTTCTCTGTTGTCATTTCTCAATCTCTTTGTACTGTTAAACACTCAGCCTTGAGTCTCTGTCTGTACCAAACAGCACCCTATTCCCTATGTAGTGCACTACTTTAGACCAGGGCCCATAGGGCTATGTATAGGGAATAGGATGCTGTTTGGGACAGCTTTGGCTGATCAGTAAAGGTCGAGGGTCATGCTCAGGGGGTTACCATGGATATACAGGAATATGTTGAATTAAAACGGGACGGCCAAGCCTTCTCCTGGAGAGATACTACTGGCCGTGCAGGCTTTTGCTCCAACCCTGCTCTAACACACCTGATTCTACTAATCAGTCTAATCAGAACCTTGACTAGCAGAATAAGGCGCGTTAGAGCAGGGCGGAAGCAAAAGCTTGCAGACCCAGTAGCTCTCTGGGAGGAGGGTTGGTATCACCAAGACCACTTAGGTTCATACGTCATCAACTAGCTTTCTGATTGGTTTACCGGCCATCAACAAGCTTTCTGATTGGTTACCTCACATATAAAGCAAGTTTAATGCCATAAACAGATTTCCTGCGTGTGTAGTTATGTTTTCAATTAATCTCAGTCCATGATTGGATCTTTTTCACCCCTTTTTATATTCTTTGTATAGTATTTCTGAACAGGTGTGTGTGTATGTAACAGGTGTGTGTATGAGGCATATGGACAGGTGGATGTACAGTAAACTACCCAGAAACAAAGACTATATTCACTGGCTCTGTAGTGTCTCTCTCTCTCTGTAGTCTCTCTCTCTCTCTGTAGTCTCCTCTCTGTAGTGTCTACTCTCTCTCTCTCTCTCTCTACCGTGCCTTGGACCATTTGGACCATTTTCAGATTACCCTCGATAGGGTGTTATTTAATGTCCCTCCTGTAGTGTTAGCTCTCTCTGTTGGCAATCTAGGTAGGTCTACTCCTGTTCTTTTTCTGGTGGGAAAGCATGTTGACGTAGCTTGATCTAGATCAGGTCTGTGTTCCTGTGAATACACCCCATGGGTTGAGTAGTAATGCTGATCAGTCTGTTTCCTAGTGAATACACCCCATGGTGTTGAGTGTAATGTGTCTAGGATCAGGTCTGTTTCCTGGTGAATACACCCCCATGGTGTTGAGTAGTAAGCTGATCGTCGTCTCTTCTAGTGAATACACCCCATGGTGTGTGAGTAGTAATCTGATCTGGTAGGTCTCTTCCTGGTGAATACACCCCCATGGTGTTGAGTAGTATGCTGTCAGGTCTGTTTCTAGTGAATACACCCCATGGTGTTGAGTAGTAATTCTGTCTAGATCAGGTCTGTTTCCTTGGTGAATACACCCCATGGTGTGAGTAGTAATGCTGATCAGGTCGTTCCTAGTGAATACACCCCCATGGTGTTGAGTAGTAATCTGATCAGCAGTCGTTCCTGGTGAATACACCCCATGGTGTTGAGTAGTAATGTGATCAGGTCTGTTTCCTAGTGAATACAACCCCTGGTGTTTGAGTAGTAAGAGATTCAGGTCTGTTTCCTGGTGAATACACCCCATGGTGTTGAGTAGTAATGCTGATCTAGGATCAGGTCGTTTCCTGTGAATACACCCCATGGTGTTGAGTGTAATGCTGATCAGGTCTGTTTCCTAGTGAATACACCCCCATGGTGTTGAGTAGTAATGCTGATCAGGTCTGTTTCCTGGTGAATACACCCCCATGGTGTTGAGTAGTAATGCTGATCAGGTCTGTTTCCTGGTGAATACACCCCCATGGTGTTGAGTAGTGATGCTGATCAGGTCTGTTTCCTGGTGAATACACCCCATGGTGTTGAGTAGTAATGCTGATCAGGTCTGTTTCCTAGTGAATACACCCCCATGGTGTTGAGTAGTAATGCTGATCAGGTCTGTTTCCTGGTGAATACACCCCCATGGTGTTGAGTAGTAATGCTGATCAGGTCTGTTTCCTAGTGAATACACCCCCATGGTGTTGAGTAGTAATGCTGATCTAGGATCAGGTCTGTTTCCTGGTGAATACACCCCCATGGTGTTGAGTAGTAATGCTGATCAGGTCTGTTTCCTGGTGAATACACCCCCATGGTGTTGAGTAGTAATGCTGATCAGGTCTGTTTCCTGGTGAATACACCCCCATGGTGTTGAGTAGTAATGCTGATCAGGTCTGTTTCCTGGTGAATACACCCCCATGGTGTTGAGTGGTAATGCTGATCAGGTCTGTTTCCTGGTGAATACACCCCCATGGTGTTGAGTAGTAATGCTGATCAGGTCTGTTTCCTAGTGAATACACCCCCATGGTGTTGAGTAGTAATGCTGATCAGGTCTGTTTCCTGGTGAATACACCCCCATGGTGTTGAGTAGTAATGCTGATCAGGTCTGTTTCCTGGTGAATACACCCCCATGGTGTTGAGTAGTAATGCTGATCTAGGATCAGGTCTGTTTCCTGGTGAATACACCCCCATGGTGTTGAGTAGTAATGCTGATCAGGTCTGTTTCCTAGTGAATACACCCCCATGGTGTTGAGTAGTAATGCTGATCTAGGATCAGGTCTGTTTCCTAGTGAATACACCCCATGGTGTTGAGTAGTAATGCTGATCAGGTCTGTTTCCTGGTGAATACACCCCATGGTGTTGAGTAGTAATGCTGATCTAGGATCAGGTCTGTTTCCTAGTGAATACACCCCCATGGTGTTGAGTAGTAATGCTGATCAGGTCTGTTTCCTAGTGAATACACCCCCATGGTGTTGAGTAGTAATGCTGATCTAGGATCAGGTCTGTTTCCTGGTGAATACACCCCCATGGTGTTGAGTAGTAATGCTGATCTAGGATCAGGTCTGTTTCCTGGTGACTACCCCCCCATGGTGTTTGAGTAGTAATGCTGATCAGGTTCTGTTTCCTGTGAATACACCCCCATGGTGTTGAGTAGTAATGCTGATCTAGGATCAGGTCTGTTTCCTAGTGAATACACCCCCATGGTGTTGAGTAGTAATGCTGATCTAGGATCAGGTCCTGTTTCCTGTGAATACAACCCCCATGGTGTTGAGTAGTAATCTGATCTAGGATCAGGTCTGTTTCCTAGTGAATACACCCCCATGGTGTTGAGTTAGTAATGCTGATCAGGTCTGTTTCCTATGAATACACCCCATGGGTTTGAGGAGTAAATGCTGATCAGGTCTGTTTCCTGGTGAATACACCCCCATGTGTTTGAGTAGTAAGCTGATCTAGGATCAGGTCTGTTTCCTATGAATACAACCCCCCATGGTGTTGAGTAGTAATGCTGATCTAGATCAGGTCTGTTTCCTGGTGAATACACCCCCATGTGTTGAGTAGTAATGCTGATCTAGGATCAGGTCTGTTTCCTAGTGAATACACCCCCATGGTGTTGAGTAGTAATGCTGATCTAGGATCAGGTCTGTTTCCTAGTGAATACACCCCCATGGTGTTGAGTAGTAATGCTGATCTAGGATCAGGTCTGTTTCCTGGTGAATACACCCCCATGGTGTTGAGTAGTAATGCTGATCTAGGATCAGGTCTGTTTCCTAGTGAATACACCCCCATGGTGTTGAGTAGTAATGCTGATCTAGGATCAGGTCTGTTTCCTGGTGAATACACCCCCATGGTGTTGAGTAGTAATGCTAATCTAGGATCAGGTCTGTTTCCTAGTGAATACACCCCCATGGTGTTGAGTAGTAATGCTGATCAGGTCTGTTTCCTGGTGAATACACCCCCATGGTGTTGAGTAGTAATGCTGATCTAGGATCAGGTCTGTTTCCTAGTGAATACACCCCCATGGTGTTGAGTAGTAATGCTGATCAGGTCTGTTTCCTAGTGAATACACCCCCATGGTGTTGAGTAGTAATGCTGATCAGGTCTGTTTCCTGGTGAATACACCCCCATGGTGTTGAGTAGTAATGCTGATCTAGGATCAGGTCTGTTTCCTAGTGAATACACCCCCATGGTGTTGAGTAGTAATGCTGATCTAGGATCAGGTCTGTTTCCTGGTGAATACACCCCCATGGTGTTGAGTAGTAATGCTGATCTAGGATCAGGTCTGTTTCCTGGTGAATACACCCCCATGGTGTTGAGTAGTAATGCTGATCTAGGATCAGGTCTGTTTCCTGGTGAATACACCCCCATGGTGTTGAGTAGTAATGCTGATCAGGTCTGTTTCCTAGTGAATACACCCCCATGGTGTTGAGTAGTAATGCTGATTTAGGATCAGGTCTGTTTCCTGGTGAATACACCCCCATGGTGTTGAGTAGTAATGCTGATCAGGTCTGTTTCCTAGTGAATACACCCCCATGGTGTTGAGTAGTAATGCTGATCAGGTCTGTTTCCTAGTGAATACACCCCCATGGTGTTGAGTAGTAATGCTGATCAGGTCTGTTTCCTAGTGAATACACCCCCATGGTGTTGAGTAGTAATGCTGATTTAGGATCAGGTCTCCCCGGTCCAAATGATTCAGATTATTATTCTTATACACTGTTAAGAACTGGCTCATAGCCCGTAACAAAGAGGGAGACAACGCAGAGATAAAGAAAAACATATTTATTAAAGTAAACTATATCCAAGTGGCAATGGTGTGTGTGTGTGTGTAGTCAATAGTGTGAGTGGAAGTGTCCATAGATGGTGATAATGAGGGGTGTTAAGGTGCCAAAATAAATGAAACACATAGAAGCCCCAAAATGCCACGACCAAAAACAAGTGTTTTTTTAAATGTATTTATTTAACCTTTATTTCACTAGGCAAGTCAGTTAAGAACAAATCCTTATTTACAATGGTAAAGGGGTGAGAGGTCACAACCAAAAACAACAGTGTGTCTGCGTGGAGAGTCTCTTCAATGTATGGGGGAAAGGTGTATTTATCTTTATTGATCCATTCTACCATTAGGTTGGTACCCCAACACTTACTATCCATTCTACCATTAGGTTGGTACCCCAACACTGCTACTATCCATTCTACCATTAGGTTGGTACCCCAACACTGTTACTATCCATTCTACCATTAGGTTGGTACCCCAACACTGTTTACTATCCATTCTACCATTAGGTTGGTACCCCAACACTGTTACTATCCATTCTACCATTAGGTTGGTACCCCAACACTGTTACTATCCATTCTACCATTAGGTTGGTACCCCAACACTGTTACTATCCATTCTACCATTAGGTTGGTACCCCAACACTGTTACTATCCATTCTACCATTAGGTTGGTACCCCAACACTGTTACTATCCATTCTACCATTAGGTTGGTACCCCAACACTGTTACTATCCATTCTACCATTAGGTTGGTACCCCAACACTGTTACTATCCATTCTACCATTAGGTTGGTACCCCAACACTGTTTACTATCCATTCTACCATTAGGTTGGTACCCCAACACTGTTACTATCCATTCTACCATTAGGTTGGTACCCCAACACTGTTACTATCCATTCTACCATTAGGTTGGTACCCCAACACTGTTACTATCCATTCTACCATTAGGTTGGTACCCCCAACACTGTTACTATCCATCTACCATTAGGTTGGTACCCCCAACACTGTTTACTATCCCATTCTACCATTAGGTTGGTACCCCAACACTGTTAATATCCATTCTACCATTAGGTTGGTACCCCAACACTGTTACTATCCATTCTTACCATAGGTTGGTACCCCAACACTGTTACTATCCCATTCTACCATTAGGTTTGGACCCCAACACTGTTACTATCCATTCTACCATTAGGTTGGTACCCCAACACTGTTACTATCCATTCTACCATTAGGTTGGGACCCCAACACTGTTACTACCATTCTACCATTAGGTTGGTACCCCAACACTGTTACTATCCATTCTACCATTAGGTTGGGTACCCCAACACTGTTACTATCCATTCTACCATTAGGTTGGTACCCCAACACTGTTACTATCCCATTCTACCATTAGGTTGGTACCCCAACACTGTTACTATCCATTCTACCATTAGGTTGGTACCCCAACACTGTTACTATCCATTCTACCATTAGGTTGGTACCCCAACACTGTTACTATCCATTCTACCATTAGGTTGGGACCCCAACACTGTTACTATCCATTCTACCATTAGGTTGGGACCCCAACACTGTTACTATCCATTCTACCATTAGGTTGGGACCCCAACACTGTTACTATCCATTCTACCATTAGGTTGGTACCCCAACACTGTTACTATCCATTCTACCATTAGGTTGGTACCCCAACACTGTTACTATCCATTCTACCATTAGGTTGGTACCCCAACACTGTTACTATCCATTCTACCATTAGGTTGGTACCCCAACACTGTTACTATCCATTCTACCATTAGGTTGGTACCCCAACACTGTTACTATCCATTCTACCATTAGGTTGGTACCCCAACACTGTTACTATCCATTCTACCATTAGGTTGGTACCCCAACACTGTTACTATCCATTCTACCATTAGGTTGGTACCCCAACACTGTTACTATCCATTCTACCATTAGGTTGGTACCCCAACACTGTTACTATCCATTCTACCATTAGGTTGGTACCCCAACACTGTTACTATCCATTCTACCATTAGGTTGGTACCCCAACACTGTTACTATCCATTCTACCATTAGGTTGGTACCCCAACACTGTTACTATCCATTCTACCATTAGGTTGGTACCCCAACACTGTTACTATCCATTCTACCATTAGGTTGGTACCCCAACACTGTTACTATCCATTCTACCATTAGGTTGGTACCCCAACACTGTTACTATCCCATTCTACCATTAGGTTGGTACCCCAACACTGTTACTATCCATTCTACCATTAGGTTGGTACCCAACACTGTTACATCTCCATTAGGTTGGTACCCCAACACTGTTACTATCCATTCTACCATTAGGTTGGTACCCCAACACTGTTACTATCCATTCTACCATTAGGTTGGTACCCCAACACTGTTACTATCCATTCTACCATTAGGTTGGGACCCCAACACTGTTACTATCCCATTCTACCATTAGGTTGGTACCCCAACACTGTTACTATCCATTCTACCATTAGGTTGGTACCCCAACACTGTTACTATCCCATTCTACCATTAGGTTGGTACCCCAACACTGTTACTATCCATTCTACCATTAGGTTGGTACCCCAAACACTGTTACTATCCCATTCTACCATTAGGTTGGTACCCCAACACTGTTACTATCCATTCTACCATTAGGTTGGTACCCCAACACTGTTACTATCCATTCTACCATTAGGTTGGTACCCCAACACTGTTACTATCCATTCTACCATTAGGTTGGTACCCCAACACTGTTACTATCCATTCTACCATTAGGATGGTACCCCAACACTGTTACTATCCATTCTACCATTAGGTTGGTACCCCAACACTGTTACTATCCATTCTACCATTAGGTTGGTACCCCAACACTGTTACTATCCATTCTACCATTAGGATGGTACCCCAACACTGTTACTATCCATTCTACCATTAGGTTGGGACCCCAACACTGTTGTTCTGAAGCTGTGTCCAAAGACAGGGGTCCAGCTCCCCAAGAAGGTTGATCATCCTGGAACATGACTCAGTTCCTTTTCTCAACACCATGTCGATGATGTCACGTGCCTTCTCTGCCCTCTCAGCTATCACCTTTACTGACTCCATTTCCTCCTGGTTGATGACTGTGTGTTGCAGGAGTCCCTCCAGCAGACCATCCAGGACAGGTCCTGACACTCGTCTCACAAACTCTGTCCGTACAGAACCCAGCTGCTGCTCTGCAGAACCAGTCAGACTGCTCTCAGCCGGACGCCCTGCCCCCAACACAGCACCTGAGAGAGGCAGGTTACAAAATAACTACATTTGTTCATTCACATTTCAGACATTTAGAAACAGACGTCTTTCAGAGTGACCTACAGTAAAAGTCTTCATTGTATTATTAATCTTTGCATTAAGAACACATTCTGTAACAATAACAACCTGAATCAATTAACACATCACACCACTACTGTTTCATTCATATTTAGGGTCAGTTTTCACAGACATAGAAAAAGATGCCTGGGGCATTCAGAACCAGGCTAATCTACATCAAGTCCTGGAGGAGATGTCATTGGGGCATTCAGAACCAGGCTAATCTACATCAAGTCCTGGAGGAGATGTCATTGGGGCATTCAGAACCAGGCTAATCTACATCAAGTCCTGGAGGAGATGTCATTGGGGCATTCAGAACCAGGCTAATCTACATCAAGTCCTGGAGGAGATGTCATTGGGGCATTCAGAACCAGGCTAATGTACATAAAATCCTGGAGGAGATGTCATTCAGAACCAGACTAATCTACATCAAGTCCTGGAGGAGATGTCATTGATCTTGAAGACAGACTTTTATAATCAGGACTAGTCCAACAGTAAACCATGTCGACTGGCCCTCAAGCCATTGGTTTGTACCTCTCATGTTTACTTACTAGTTGAATGGGTTTCAGGGATGTATTCATCTGAAAGAAACAAAAATAGGTTTTAATCACTAAATAGCATCTGTCAGAAAATAACAGAGTTATGATTGACATATTCTCCTACCTGTTGGTACCGTATCTCTCCATACTGTCCTCTCATCATCCCCGATTAACTCCATCTCAATGTCAACCCCTGTGTTTCTCATAACCATCTTACAACAGCTTGGTGTGGTGTCTGCAGGTAACAGCTGAATCTTCTGTAGAAGGTCATATGGTGCAACGATTGAGACAACAGACAGAGAGAGAGAGAGAAAGAAATATAATGATATTCCAGTTATGAATATATAATATGACAGATTCATGTCCTCAGCCTGCTAAATCTGCACCTCTGGATTGATGGAGGAGGAATGGGGATTCTTGACAGCAAACCAACTGTTCAGCTTTAAGGACCCCTTTGGACTTGACAGGACCAATTCTGAATATCCTTGGGACACCTGGTGTTTCTCCCGGTCCCGAACAGCCTACAAAATGAGCAGTGTAGTAGTCAGTCTGAACAATGTAGTCTCTTAATTCACACAACTTGCAGCTAACTGAGAAACCAATTTTGGTCATAGTTTCTATAGTATCACTGTATTAATTAATGCTACGACATAAATAGATTTCTCACAGAGCTGCATGTTGTCTTTGTAATCTATAGATTTTCAACAAACTATCAGCTTTCCTATAGTAAGTTTCAACATACTGTTGTCACTTCAATGACAGTGCCTCACCTCTTTCTGACTGGAGTTTCTGAGGAGCATGTACAGCCGTGAAATTACTGTTGCCTTTTTTACTGCCATATAGAGGACCACGTCACAGTGGACATCTACGTTCCCAAAAAAGATATAGCTCAGTATAACAGCGATAGCTGAGAACTTGGGATGGAGAATCTTAGCATGGAATCTGGTGACCTCATGCACTTCCTCAACAGACACTCCATGTTCCTCTACATGAAGAATCTTCATCTCATTCCTCAGGGAAGGGTTGGTCCCTGAACAACACAATAAAAAAGGAGACAGAAAGACAAATATTATATTATTCATCCAACTAAAACACAAAGAATATGCAGTATCAGATCACAGTAAACAAACTCCCAGAATAGTTCATTCATTAATTCAGGAAGTGAAACTCAGTTTCTATGTCAATATGGTTTTACCTAAACAGACAAAGTGTGGCAGATGAACTTCCTCCAGTTCACCTAACTCCATAGTGATGTCCAGCAATGGACCACCTTGTCCGTACTGCATGTCTATCAGAAGTTGACTGTAGGGATACCAGTTCCTGAAGTGATACTTCAGAATGACATCTCTGTCACACACCCAGCGGAGCCCAGACACTGTGCACTCATAACGCCCTTTGGGTGACCTGTGCCTGAGGGCAACAACAAGATATGGTAGAGAGGGTCAATCGTCAAATGGAGAGGTTGGATTAGAAGCCTATTCCCAAAGGTAATGGGGAAATACACTAGCAAGTGGCATTTAATGTTAAAAGTAGTTATTTTACCTGAACATTGTCACTCCCTGGACAGTGGAAGTCAAGGGTTCAATCTGAAGCCAGTGTGTGGAGTCCTGAACAAGGACAATCATGTCAGTTATACATATGGGGCCAGTTTCCTGGACACAGATTGAGTCTAGTACTGGACTTAAAGCATGATCAATGGAAGTTTCAATAGAAAGTTCTTTAAGGTCCAGGACTAGGCTTAATCTGTGTCCGGGAAACTGGCCCATTAACCAAAGTAACTAATCTAATGTCTTTATTCAATGTTACATGGAATGCTGGTATGACAACAGCTAAAATCCTGCATTCCTACAAGCAGAACACAGGACTGTCTATATCCCAGTATGAATGGTTGGTCAGTACACACCTGGCTTTCAGACTGTGTTTATATTACTAAAGCAGAACACAGGACTGTCTATATCCCAGTATGAATGGTTGGTCAGTACACACCTGGCTTTCAGACTGTGTTTATATTACTAAAGCAGAACACAGTACTGTCTATATCCCAGTATGAATGGTTGGTCAGTGCACACCTGGCTTTCAGACTGTGCCTGACTCCTGAAGGTATGTAAAAGTGGGAATTGACATTATGACTTACCTCAACATGTTCACAAGTCTTACAGCTCTGAGGAATCCCTGAAGTCAAAAGTAGTAGTTATTTAAAATGGACAATCTCATGTAATAACTAATTAATAATTATTAAATAGACTTGTAATAAAAATCTATATATGTTAGCAACAGTCTCATTAGCACACAGTGTTATATTAATGAATGTTTGTGGAAGCAGGAAACAACATGGTTCTGGTCCATGTTTTGGAGATGTTGGGGGCCTGATTTCTGGTAGATCCCAGGATGAGAGCTTAAAGGTAGAGTCAGCTAAATGATGTTGTACGAGCAGCACCGCAGATATTGTGATGAGCAAGATGCCTGACTTCTCTCTCACACAGTATCTGCCCATGTGCACGGGTTCTCTTCACTCTCTTACAGCGTGGTAGCCACGGGACCAAAACAACTGAGAAGTTTAGCATCGCGCTCTAATGCCCTTACAGTGAGGGGAAAAAAGTATTTGATCCCCTGCTGATTTTGTACGTTTGCCCACTGACAAAACATGATCAGTCTAATTTTAATGGTAGGTTTATTTGAACAGTGAGAGACAGAATAACAACAAAAAAATCCAGAAAAAAGCATGTCAAAAATGTTATAAATTGATTTGCATTTTAATGAGGGAAATAAGTATTTGACCCCTCTGCAAAACATGACTTGTTGGCAATCACAGAGGTCAGACGTTTCTTGTAGTTGGCCACCAGGTTTGCACACGTCTCAGGAGGGATCTTCTCCAAGTCATTAAGGTTTCGAGGCTGACGTTTGGCAACTCGAACCTTCAGCTCCCTCCACAGATTTTCTATGGGATTAAGGTCTGGAGACTGGCTAGGCCACTCCAGGACCTTAATGTGCTTCTTCTTGAGTCACTCCTTTGTTGCCTTGGCCATGTGTTTTGGGTCATTGTCATGCTGGAATACCCATCCACGACCCATTTTCAATGCCCTGGCTGAGGGAAGGAGGTTCTCACCCAAGATTGAAAGGTACATGGCCCCGTCCTAAGTCCCTTTGATGCGGTGAAGTTGTCCTGTCCCCTTAGCAGAAAAACACCCCCAAAGCATAATGTTTCCACCTCCATGCTTGACAGTGGGGATGGTGTTCTTGGGGTCATAGGCAGCATTCCTCCTCCTCCAAACACGGCGAGTTGAGTTATTGCCAAAGAGCTCGATTTTGGTCTCATCTGACCACAACACTTTCACCCACCCATTCAGATGTTCATTGGCAAACTTCAGACGGCCCTGTATATGTGCTTTCTTGAGCAGGGGGACCTTGCGGGCGCTGCAGGATTTCAGTCCTTCACGGCGTAGTGTGTTACCAATTGTTTTCTTGGTGACTATGGTCCCAGCTGCCTTGAGATCATTGACAAGATCCTCCCGTGTAGTTCTGGGCTGATTCCTCACCATTCTCATGATCATTGCAACTCCACGAGGTGAGATCTTGCATGGAGCCCCAGGCCGAGGGAGATTGACAGTTCTTTTGTGTTTCTTCCATTTGCAAATAATCGTACCAACTGTTGTCACCTTCTCACCAAGCTGCTTGGCGATGGTCTTGTAGCCCATTCCAGCTTTGTGTAGGTCTACAATCTTGTCCCTGACATCCTTGGAGAGCTCTTTGGTCTTGGCCATGGTGGAGAGTTTGGAATCTGATTGATTGATTGCTTGCTTCTGTGGACAGGTGTCTTTTATACAGGTAACAAACTGAGATTAGGAGCACTCCCTTTAAGAGTGTGCTCCTAATCTCAGCTCGTTACCTGTATAAAAGGCACCTGGGAGCCAGAAATCTTTCTGATTGAGAGGGGGTCAAATACTTATTTCCCTCATTAAAATGCAAATCAATTTATAACATTTTTGAAATGCATTTTTCTGGATTTTTGTTGTTGTTATTCTGTCTCTCACTGTTCAAATAAACCTACCATTAAAATTATAGACTGATCATGTCTTTGTCAGTGGGCAAACGTACAAAATCAGCAGGGGATCAAATATTTTTTTCCCTCACTGTAGTTGTTGCAGAAATTGACCCACTTTGCTATTTACTTTGTGCATCTACATCATATTGCTGACTCTACATTTAAGTTTGTTTTGACCAAATAGATCATGATTGTGTTCCTTGCCTGGGACTCAAGTATAATGAACGCTTTAAAATTATTTTGATTGAAAAACAATTAAATCAGTTAACACTCACATTTCTCAGGTCCAGGCTTGATACAGCACTCTCCACCATGGTCTCTGCTGTTGGTAAAGCAGATGGATAGACTGTGATTAAACTAAATACAACTGATAAAGGCTTTATATAGCATACATACAGTCTTCATAAGCAATACAAAGGTGTATAACGGGTGATAGAACCACTCCCTATGGTGGCCTAAATTTACATTTACGTCATTTAGCAGACGCTCTTATCCAGAGCGACTTACAAATAGGTGCATTCACCTTATAGCCAGTGGGATCACCACTTTACAATGTTTTTATTTTATTTTATTTTATGTAAATTTTTTATATAATTTTATTTTAAAAAATATATATTTTTTTGGGGGGGTTGGGGTTTGGGTTGGGGTAAGGGGGGGGTAGAAGGATTACTTTATCCTATCCCAGGTATTCCTTAAAGAGGTGGGGTTTCAAATGTCTCCGGAAGGTGGTGAGTGACTCCGCTGTCCTGGCGTCGTGAGGGAGCTTGTTCCACCATTGGGGTGCCAGAGCAGCGAACAGTTTTGACTGGGCTGAGCGGGAACTATGCTTCCGCAGAGGTAGGGGAGCCAGCAGGCCAGAGGTGGATGAACGCAATGCCCTCGTTTGGGTGTAGGGACTGATCAGAGCCTGAAGGTACGGAGGTGCCGTTCCCCTCACAGCTCCGTAGGCAAGCACCATGGTCTTGTAGCAGATGCGAGCTTCAACTGGAAGCCAGTGGAGTGTGCGGAGGAGCGGGGTGACGTGAGAGAACTTGGGAAGGTTGAACACCAGACGGGCTGCGGCATTCTGGATGAGTTGTAGGGGTTTAATGGCACAGGCAGGGAGCCCAGCCAACAGCGAGTTGCAGTAATCCAGACGGGAGATGACAAGTGCCTGGATTAGGACCTGTGCCGCTTCCTGTGTAAGGCAGGGTCGTACTCTCCGAATGTTGTAGAGCATGAACCTACAGGATCGGGTCACCGCCTTGATGTTAGCGGAGAACGACAGGGTGTTGTCCAGGGTCACGCCAAGGCTCTTCGCACTCTGGGAGGAGGACACAACGGAGTTGTCAACCGTGATGGCGAGATCATGGAACAGGCAGTCCTTCCCCGGGAGGAAGAGCAGCTCCGTCTTGCCAAGGTTCAGCTTGAGGTGGTGATCCGTCATCCATACTGATATGTCTGCCAGACATGCAGAGATGCGATTCGCCACCTGGTTATCAGAAGGGGGAAAGGAGAAGATTAGTTGTGTGTCGTCAGCGTAGCAATGATAGGAGAGGCCATGTGAGGATATGACAGAGCCAAGTGACTTGGTGTATAGGGAGAATAGGAGAGGGCCTAGAACTGAGCCCTGGGGGACACCAGTGGTGAGAGCACGTGGTGCGGAGACAGCTTCTCGCCACGCCACTTGGTAGGAGCGACCGGTCAGGTAGGACGCAATCCAAGAGTGAGCCGCACCGGAGATGCCCAGCTCGGAGAGGGTGGAGAGGAGGATCTGATGGTTCACAGTATCAAAGGCAGCAGACAGGTCTAGAAGGACAAGAGCAGAGGAGAGAGAGTTAGCTTTAGCAGTGCGGAGAGCCTCCGTGACACAGAGAAGAGCAGTCTCAGTTGAATGACCAGTCTTGAAACCTGACTGGTTTGGATCAAGAAGGTCATTCTGAGAGAGATAGCAAGAGAGTTGGCTAAAGACGGCACGCTCAAGAGTTTTGGAGAGAAAAGAAAGAAGGGATACTGGTCTGTAGTTGTTGACATCAGAGGGATCGAGTGTTGGTTTTTTGAGAAGGGGTGCAACTCTCGCTCTCTTGAAGACGGAAGGGACATAGCCAGCGGTCAAGGATGAGTTGATCAGTGAGGTGAGGTAAGGGAGAAGGTCACCGGAGATGTTCTGGAGAAGGGAGGAGGGGATAGGGTCAAGCGGGCAGGTTGTTGGTGGCCGGGTCCTGCCATCAACTCGCAAGATTTTAATCTGGAGAGAGCTGGGAGGATCGGATGGTCGTCAACGCATCGTTTACAAATGGTTTGACGAAGTCATCCAAGAGAGGGAGGTGAGGGGGAATTCCAACAGGTGAGGAGAATGTGGCAAAGACGCTTCGCTAGGGTTAGAGGCAAGATGCTTGGAATTTAGAAGTTGGTAGAAAATTGGGCCTGTAGCAGCAGAAAAACAGAGGAAGAAAATGGTAGAGAGGAGGGAGTGAAAAGATGCCATGGTCCGCAGGGGAGTCCTAGTTTCTTCCATTTACACGCTCAGCTGACCCGGGGAGAAGGGATGAGGGGATAGGGTCAAGCGGAGCAGGTTTGTTGGGGCCGGCCTGCCATCACAAGTCCGCAAGATTTTAAGTCTGGAGAGAGAGGGGAGAAAGAAGTCAAAGCATAGGGTAGGGCAGTGTGAGCAGGACCAGCAGTGTCATTTGACTTAACAAAAGAGGATCGGATGTCGTCAACCATCTTTTCAAAATGGTTGACGAAGTCATCCACAGAGAGGGAGGGAGGGGGATTCAGCAGGGAGGAGAATGTGGCAAAGAGCTTCCTAGGGTTAGAGGCAGATGCTTGGAATTTAGAGTGGTAGAAAGTGGCCTTAGCAGCAGAAACAGATGAAGAAAATGTAGAGAGGAGGGAGTGAAAAGATGCCAGGTCCGCAGGGAGTCTAGTTTTCTTCCATTTCCGCTCAGCTGCCCGGAGCTCTGTTCTGTGAGCTCGCAATGAGTCATCAAGCCACGGAGCTGGAGGGGAGGACCGAGCCGGCCGGGAGGATAGGGGACATAGAGAGTCAAAGGATGCAGAAAGGGAGGAGAGGAGGGTTGAGGAGGCAGAATCAGGAGATTGTGGAGGGAGAAGGATT